AAGATCTCTTACTGGAACGTTTGGATAGGATAGCCCCTCAAGGAACCATCTAGCTTTGCGACCAATGCAATCCTGCTGGTCCGTCATAAAGTTCCATATTTGCTCCTTAAACGTTGTATGTTCCAATGATTTCACCAATTTATTAATGGTATTTATCAGCACCTTTCCCACCATTGAACCCAATGTGGCGTATTCGAGAAACATTGTTTCGTTGCTCGAAGTCATAATCGGTTCAGTTAGAAGCGACGCCAAAACATCTACAAAGCAAAGTACCGTTCACCTACTGTGTTTCAAAGAAGTCGAATCTAGTTACTAAAGTCTCGTGGCTTTATATCGAAGAAAACGTCCGGTCTGGCTGACATCTGATGTCTGTGAGACAACGGCGTATCACCGTTCATAAGCATTATCGCCTCCTGGAACTCCCTTAAGAGAAGAGCTTTGTCGAAGTGGCGCCGCATTTCCATTGTATCATTGGAATCGCTTTCAATCTGTAAGCGCACAACACACAATCAATGTCTGACGTTTGGAAAACTGCACTAGTTCTGGGTAAATCAATGAGTTTTTAGGAGTTGGCGCAGTGCTACGCAAATTTATTGGTGCGCCAACCCAACGCACCGGCGCAGTCAGGAGTAATATTTTTAAAACGTCTTCAAAATTTCAGAATTTTTCAGTTTTAGCCAAGTTACTCTTTCTTCTAAATGCTCAATTTTCCAAAGGTTCAGTTACACTTAAGGACATGACAAACACTTAAGGACATGACACTTAAGGCTGACAAACTTAAGGTATTTTTCGTGAAATATTATGAAAAAAAATTCTAGTCCTTGGTTGCTTTGTGAAAATATTTGAAATCCCTTTCCAGCGTCGAATTTGGAACAAAAATAAAATAAATTATTGATTATTTAGAAAAAACAGATTATTTGGAAATCTTAAAATCTTGTTAAAAAATGTGTTTTTTTTAGTTTCGACTGGTTTTTTTGCTTCACTTTCTACGCTGAAAACCTCAAGTACTCAAAAATTAATTTTCCCAGAAAATGCGCCTCATTCATCGGTTTGAAGGGAACTTTAGAAAACCCTTTTTGCTTCGAATTTGAAAAAAACGACCAGAGCACAACTTTACAAAAAATTATTTGAAAAATTCGCCACCCTCATTGCTCTGAAGATATTTAAAGTTCCTTTAAATTTTCAGGTCATTCTAGTTTTAGCAAAGTTTCAATTAATAAATTCTTTCTACGCAAAAATCGCATTATTTTTTAGTTAAAGTACTGACAGTCTTCAGGTATTTTCTGTGAAAAATTATAAGATAGCTTTTATTTGGCATTTATATAGCAAAATCAATTGGCTAGAAAATTCGCCTTATCGGTTTGCAGGGAAATTTAGAAAACCTTTTTCCGCTTCGAATTTGGCACAAAAACCAAATAATTTTGTTCCATTTTTTACGGAAAGTAATTAAGTTTATCTTGAAAAAAAGATTAGAAAGTAAAAGTTTGCAAAAAATTATTTGGGAAATTCGCCGCCCTCATCGCTCTGAATATTTTTAAAGTTCCTTTAAATTTTCAGGTCATTCTAGTTTAAATAACGTTTCTATTAAGCAATTCTTTCTACGCAAAAATCGTATTATTTTCTGATTTTACTTAACATACTGGCAATCTTCCGGTATTTTCTGTGAAAAATTATAAGATAAATTTCACTCGCTTTCCAATTCCAATTTTC